GGCCCGCGGATAAGGCTTTGCATATGCATTTGCCTGTGTAACTGCCTCTCAGATCAAGAAGTAGAATATTTCCAGCTCCTCCCACCCTGATCCCACCCATGGCTCTCCCTTGTGTCCCTTCCCAGGCGGCATCTCCTCTGGACTTGATGAATTTCTTTTAGAAAATGGTTTAAAGCAAATTCGTTGTTGTTCAGTCGCTCAGTTGTGTCCAGCTCTTTGCGACCCCATGGACTGCGTCACGCCAGGCCTCCCTGCCCATCACCAACTCCCGGAGCTTGCTCAAACACATGTCCGTCGAGTCGGTGATGCCATCCAACCATCTCATCCTCTGTCATCCCCTTCTCCTCCTGCCTTCAATCTTTCCTGGCATTGACATGGTTTGACACAATGCTGATAAGATTTTCCAAAACTGGGTAGTGATGTGTTTGTGGGTGTTCAATTTTTCTGTAACCATTTGGGGATCCTTGACATATTTCATCATCATCATCATCATAAAAGAGACGAGGAGGACGTGTGCCAAGAGGCAGGGGAGCAACGCAGGCAGAGGTGCCGCGTGGACATGGCATGGACAAAGATGCCCAGGCCAGAGGGGAGTTGCAGGCGGCCCTGGGACTCCTGAGAGCGGGCTCGTCTCTAAGGGAGGTTTCCAAGATGAGAGACACTTTTGGCCAAGTGTTCCCAAACTGTCAAGGTTTGGACACGGAGTCACCCTGGAGGGTGCCTTTAGCCACCCCGCCCTCACAGAGGGCATCGGCGCCCGCCTGGCACAGCCAGTCGTGCCTTGGTCTGTGTGCAGGCCGGACTCAGAACCCCTGCCTACCCATTCTTTCTGGGCCATGAGCCGCAATCGTGCCCAGCACACCAGCCTGTTTGTGACTCCTCTGTGGGTGGCCCGAGCCTCGCGTTGTCCCAGCACAATCGCGGTGGCCGAGCTCTTGTGGGGAAAGTGGGGCAGGAAGCCCCGATCTAGGCCAGCCGCGCCACGCTCCCAGCTTCCTGCTCTGCCTGATGTGCCGGGTGAGGCTGCCTTGTCCTCCCGCCCCGTCTGGGGAGGCTGAAGGCTGGACTTCCCGGCAGCATCACAGGCCCTGGGAAAACATCCTCTGGGAACTCCTGTCTGCTGAACCCCCCCGCCATTGTCTTTTAAAAAGAAGGATCATCAGTCTTCCTGTGGCCCGAGCTGGGGTTCCACCATGTGTCAGGCACCGTGCCAGGCAGATTTTAACCCTTCCTTTGGTTCCAGAGGGCTTATTGTGTGCCAGGCACAGGTCTAGGCCCTGAGGGTCCAGCTGGGAAGAAGACTGGCAAGGACCCTGCCCTCATGGAGCTCCCATTCACTTTATCCTAATACATTCTGAAAGTCGGGGTGGTATGACTATGATCTATGTACCTGGGAAGAGTGAACTGAGACTCGGGGCTTCCCAGGTGGCACTAATGGTAAAGAACCCCCCTGCCAATGCAGGAGATGTAAGACACGCACGTTCTATCCCTGGATCGAGAAGGTCTGTTGGAGGAGGGAATGGCCACTTACTCCAGTGTTCATGCCTGGAGAATCCTGTTGACAGAGGAGCCTGGTGGGCTGTGCTCCATAAGTTCTTAAAGAGTCGGACACAACTGAAGCGACTTAGCATGCATACATGCACGCACGCAAACTAAGACTCAGAGAGACCGATGCACTTTCCTGAGGTCACACAGCAGGAAGGAGGAGGAATGCAGTTTAAAGCCAAATCATCGGTTTCCAAGCCTGACCTTTGCTTTTGGATTGGGGTAAAGGTTTCATCCCAACCACGCTCCCTTATTTTTGCCTTTCCTCTAGGAGCTGGTGTAGATTGCTTAATCTCAGTCTTTTTGTCTGACAAATGGGCTGTTAATGCAAGATGAGAATGTGATAAGTGCATGAAGACAAGGAGGGCATCCTGGAGGAGGTGACATTTGAGCTAAGGCGTGATGAATGAGAAGGAGCTGGCCCAGAACAGAGGTGGGAGAACATATCCTGCCAGTAGGAGTGGCATGTGCAAAGGTCCTGAGGCAGGGGTGTGCCTGGCAGGTGGAAGGAATAGAGAGACTGAAGATGTGGCTGAAGATTATTGAGGTGTGAGGTGGGAATGGAGGGCTAGAAGGTGAGTTCAGAGAGATTAACTAGTGCATGGGGACCTTATGGACTGTGGGAAGATGTGATTTTTTTTTTTGTTTTTTTAAGTATATTGAGTAGCCATGGAAAGTTGTAAGCCATGTATTGGTAGGATCTGATTCATATACTTAAAAGGATCCCTCAGGCTGTGTGTAGAAAAAGGAATAGGAAGGAGGGAATTTCAGTCCAGGCAGAAGGCAATGGTAACTTGGACCAGGCAGGTGACTGAGGACGTAGGGAGAAGTGGTTTGATTTAAAAAACAGGTTGCAAGTGAAGCTGTGATAGCATTTGCTGATGGATGGAAATGGAGTGTCAGAGAAAGAGGAGGTGGAGGATGACTGGAGGGCTTTGGTTGGAGATCCTTAATGGCAGAGTGCCATTTGTCAGGCTGGGAAGGGCTTGGTGCTGTGTGGGTTAGGAGAAAAGTTCAGGAACTAGGTTTGGGGTGCATTTAGTTTGAGATGGCCCTTGGATGTCTGGCCTTCCCTGGTGGCTCAGATGGTAAAGAATCCATCTGCCAATGCAGGAAACCTGAGTTCTATTCCTGGTTAGAACTGGGAAGATCCCCTGGAGGAGGGCATGGCAACCTACTCCAGTATTCCTGGAGAATCCCCATGGACAGAGGAGCCTGATGGGCTACAGTCCATGGGGGTCACAAAGAGTCAGACACGACTGAGCGACTGATGCTGACCCGGACATCTAGGTGGAGTTGTCCAGTTGTCAGGAATCCAGCCGAGTCTGGATGCATGAGGCTGGGGGTGTACACTTGGGATGCAGGGACTGTTCGTGAATGCATCGCAGTGAGTGTGGACAGAGAGGCAAGACCACCTTGCTGTCCCCAACTTTGCTCTCCGAGACCTGCCCTGTGGAGCGCCGGTGAGCGTCTTCCTGGGAGAGCAGAGTCCGCAGGTGCCCAGGCTCCTGTGACATCCGTGGATGTCCTTTTGGGTGACGGGAAAGGATCCGACAGCCGCCTCCCTGCCCGCCTGCCCCTGCTTCGCTCCATCCTCCCCACTCAGAGGTTTCCCCTGTGTCCCACCAATGTGCTGTGGCGAGGGTGACCGGCAGGCCACCGTGCCGCCTCCTGATCGTAAGTTGTCTTCACAGGGGGCTCCTTGTGGCTGTTGCCAGGTCAGCCTAGGGCAAGTGCTGGAGTCGGTGCAAACCTCAGTCTCCCTCAGGGGCTGGCTTTCACCCTCCCCCTTACCCCCACATCCAATCCCCTGGCCCTTCCAGGGGACTCAGAGGCGCGTCCGTCCCACCCACGCCAGGGCCAGGCCACTGTCATTGCTCATCAGCGTGGCTGCTCCCCTCCACTCTGGTCCCCAGCTTTTGTGCTCAACCCCTGAAACCTAGTTCCTTGCAAAAACAGATGGCTCTTCTGGCACCATTTAAACGCTGGGAGGGACTTCTCTGGTGGTCTGGCAGTTAGGACCCCGTGCTTCCTCTGCAGGGGCATGAGTTTGATCCCTAGTCAGGGAACTAATACCCCATATGCTGTGTAGCATGGCCAGAAAGTAAAACAACAACAAAAACCCCAAATGCTTTAAAAATAATAGTAATAAAAGCTGGGAGACTTTGCTTTTTTTAAAAAAATCCCAATTTCTGGCTTCTCTTGGGGAAGAAAAAAAAAAACTGCCCCAGAACATCTGGCGACCCTGGGCGTGCTGCCCTCCCACGTGGCCGCACTTGGAGGGGATGCACGGCCGCCCCCTCTTCAATGGGCGTGTGTTCACCTGTTCCCCACGACGACCCTTGCCAGGCCCTTCCTTTATTGCCTCACGTCACGGAAGGGGGAACTGATTTCTCTGTTCCAAGCCCTTGAGAAAAGTGGCAGAAGGGCTTGGATACAACCGCATCCTGGGCAGCCATAAAGGAGAATGGGGATGTTGCCTGGGTTGTGATGTGGAGGGATCTTTAAGCTACACTCCGTGGAATAAGTAGGTCCAGGGCATCCTGTGTATGCTGCTATCTTTGGGTGTGTGTAATGGGGAAAAGAGGAATATATGCATGTGTGTGTGTACGCATAGATTTGTATGTGTGTTTATTTTTTCCAGGCTTTGTCGGGGTATCATTGACATATAACATTGTGTAAATTAAAGATGTATCACCTGCTTCAGTACATTTATATATTGCAAAAGGATTACTATCATAGTGCAGCTTTAAGTGTATAATAAGTTTTATTGCCTGTAATTGCTCTTCTGTACACTAGAGCCCTAGAATTAATTTTTCTAGTAATGGAAACTTGGTACTTTTTGACCAACCTGTGTGTGTTTATTTGGAAGGGTTCCCAAGTCACAAGGAGCTGTGGTTCCTGGGGAGAGGGCGGGACTAGATGGATGGGGGCTGGGGTGTAGGAAACCCACTTTTCCTATTTTTGACTTGATATATACATATTTTTAAAAAATTAACAAATTAAAAAAATGGGGGGATTCGGGATCTTAGTTCCCCAACCAGGGATCGAACCCACGTCCCCTGCAGTGGAGGCATGGAGTCCTAATCACTGGGCTACCAGGGACGTTCCTATAGTTTTGACTTTCGAGCCCCGTGCATGGTTGTTATTTAGAAGTTAGGTTTTTAAACAAGAAAAATAATGGGAAAACGAGTTGCAGTCCACCAGGGCCCCCTGGGCGAAGACGCAGGTGTGAGCACAGGTCCCTGGCGCAGGGTTTGCGTTGGTCTCTGCAGAGCCTGGCTGGGCAGGTGCTCCGTAAACGCGTGTTGGCTGAACAGCCGGCCGAGCAGGTTTTTGCTTCTTTCTTGCCCGTGTCCAGGGCCGCGCTGGCGCTGGAACTCGTGACCTTCCTTTTGTGCCACCTCCAGGGGACTGGCAGCGTGGAAGCTCACCTCCCTGCTTCTGTCTTCCAGGCATTCCTGCATCGCATTCGGCAGAACGCGGCGGACTCGGTGGAGAAGGGCCTGACAGAGGAGAACGTCAAGGTGGGGGCCCGGGGTCCCTGCTGCCCCGGCTGCTGTGCGCAGAGCTGCCTTGCTCCCCCTGGGTGATGCCCGGAGGGGCCGCGGGGGTGGGGGTGGGGGTGCTCCCTTGGGTGATGCTCGGAGGGGCCACGGGGGTGGGGGTGGGGGTGTGGGTGCTCCCCTGGGTGATGCCCGGAGGGGCCACGGGGGTGGGGGTGGGGGTGTGGGTGCTCCCCTGGGTGATGCCCGGAGGGGCCGCGGGGGTGGGGGTGGGGGTGGGGGTGCTCCCTTGGGTGATGCTCGGAGGGGCCGCGGGGGTGGGGTTGGGGGTGGGGGTGCTCCCCTGGGTGATGCTCGGAGGGGCCACGGGGATGGGGGTGGGGGTGTGGGTGCTCCCCTGGGTGATGCTCGGAGGGACCGTGGGGGTGGGGGTATGGGTGCTCCCTTGGGTGATGCTCGGAGGGGCCACGGGGGTGGGGGTGGGGGTGTGGGTGCTCCCCTGGGTGATGCTCGGAGGGACCGTGGGGGTGGGGGTGTGGGTGCTCCCCTGGGTGATGCTCGGAGGGGCTTCGGGGCTGGGGCTGGGTGTGTCTACCCTGCGGGCAGCTGGCTCTGTCTTCCGCACCGCCCCCCCGCCCCACCGCCCGGCTTGCTCCCTGTGGCCCCTGGGTCCCGTGAGCAGGCCGTGCTGGGGGTCTGTGAGGAGGACTCGGCCTCAGGCCCCCACTTCCCAGCTCAGGAGTTTTCTCCCCTCGCTCAGTACAACCATCCTGTCTTTCGGCCTCCTCGCGTGGGGGACCCTGGCTTGATGCCAGTGGAAAATCCCTTCCCAAGTGCCCCTGGGAGCGTGGCACCTCCAGCCGCCCTCCTGGCAGCCCGGGCCCCTGCCCTGCACTGGGCGTTGAGCACGAGGCGGAGCGGATGAGTAACTGGGTGCAGGCTGCATCTTGGCTGTGGCTCTGGGGAGTTTCAGGAGGAAGTCAATAGGCCTTCTGTGTGCTCAGTATGGGCCCCAGAGGCCCCCAGGCCTGGCTTTCCAGGGTGATCTCACTCTCTGAGAAGCCGCCTCCAGCCCTTTGGGGCTCTGGGGTCCTGGTGCCGGGAGAGAGGGGGAGTTGGGGCAGGGTGGGAGCCAGCTGTGGCCAGCTCGCATGGCTCATAAAGGGCTTGGTCACACTGGACATCCCCCTGCATACATCCTGGTTGATAAGAGTAGCAGCCTGGTACATTGATGATTCTGAGTCCAGTATTTTGGATGAGAAAGCTGAGAGTTAGAGATGTAAAGAGACCTACGCAGGGTGAGTGCATGGCTGGTTCCTGGTTGGGCTGGCATTGAACCTTTTATGCGTTCACTCAGAAAGCAAATATTTACTGAGTCCCTGCTGTTCATTAGTCTGTTACAGTCTTTATTTATTGGCTTCCCTCGTGGCTCAGTGGGTAAAGAATCCACCTGCAGGAGGCGGGGAGACTCAGGTTCAATCCGTGGGTCCCTGGAGGAGGGCATGGCTACCCGCTCCTATATGCTTGCCTGGAGAGTCCTGTGGACTGAGGAACCTAGCAGGCTACAGTCCCCAGCATCACAAAGAGTAGGACATGACTGAAATGACTGAGCACATTTACTTATTACGTCCTAACACGACGCATGATAATTAAGAATTGTAATTTATTGCAGTTTGAAAAAATTACCTCTTTTACGAGGTGTAATTCATAGAAAGTAAAGGGTCCAGTCCTAAGTGCAGCTCCTCACTACATGCCTCCTCCCCAAAGGCAAACAGTGACTTCTAGCGGTGTTGGTTCGCTTTGCCTTTTCCTGAACTGTGTATAGAAATGATCCCTTTGTGGTGCCTGGCATCTTTGCTCACTGTTAGGTCTGGGAGACTTGCCCTTGTTGTTTGGTGTAGCTGGGAGTCACTCCTGCTCCTTGCTGTGTAGTAATCCATCGGACAGACGCACCACTGTTGACTCATTCATTCTCCTTTTTCCAGTTTTGGGCTGTGATGACTGTTCTCATCTGTCTTCGGGGGGTACACAGGCTCTCATTTCTTTGGGGTGTATGCTCAGGAGACAGATACTTATTTTGAAATTCTGCAGCCATTGCTTGACGTGAGTGTAAGAATAGGATGTATCCTATGGGTCTTTAAGCACATTCAGCCATGTGAGCTGGACAGAACAAGAAAGAGAAAAATAGCCTAACAGTGCGGGTGGTTCTCCCAGCCGCTTCATGTGACCAGTGACCCCCAGGATAAGGCCGAGGAGGAAGAGGGTCTCTGGCCCTCTGGGACTTCGGCTCTGACGCGTGGTCTCCGCCCCTTGGCCTCCCTGCCCACCCTCAGGCCTCTAAGGACCGTCCGGTGCCTTTGCAGGGTCTGTGGGGTCGGTCCTCATTCCTCAGGGCCTTGGCTGCAGTGTCAGCTTTTCAGAGCAGCTGTGCTTGGCCCGCTGTGTTTAATGTGCAAACTCCTCCTCCTGCTCCCCCCTGGGATTCCTTTCCTGATTTCGTCCTGAGTGCTTCTTGTCACCTGGAAAACTGTCGTTATTTGTTGGCTGTCAGTCCCCTTCCAGTTGAATGTCAGCTGCCTGGAGGCAGATAGGGGGCTGTTCTCTTCTGGTGCCCAGGCCTGGCCCACGGTAGGGGCTCAGTTAGCACTCGCTGCAGGAATGACTGTGTAAGAAACCCTAGAAGGAGCTGTAAGTCACAGTGACTGGTGACCCGGGCCACTAGCTGCTGCGGGTGGGAAGCAGGGGGGTGGGTCAGAGAGGGACTCCACATTGCATTTACTGGGGTGCTCAAAAGGAACTTTTTGTTCCTACAATATTTAGATTTTTGAACCCTGTGAATGCCTTCTTCAAAATTAAATGAAAAATACACCTGTTTAAAAAAAAGGCAGAAAAAGGAATTTCACAGTTCAAAGGGCCTAGAATCAATGGAAATTCTCCCTTAGTTGTTCTTAGAGGCCTTGATGGTTCCCAGTTGGTGTTATTGTCCAGGGGTCTCTGCTTCTGCCAGCGCAGAGAAGAGTGGCCTTTGTGTGTGTGTTATCTTACACAGATGGATCCATATTGGAATTCCAAGTGGTGCCATGCCCACTTAACAGTATATATCAAGGATCATTCCAGGGCTCCAGATCCATATATACAAACCTGCAGATTCTTTTCACAGGCTCAGAGTATTTCAGAATATGGGATGTATTTAAATATAACCAGTCCAGCTTGTTTAACTATTTGACAGGTGCCCATCAATGCATGTTTAACTTTCTTCCGGTCTTCTGCTACTGCAAATAAAGCTGCAGTTTATGGTCTTGGCCATCCACCCAGTTCTCAAGCTTGGTGCAATGAACATGTTGGGCCGGACAGTTCTTTGCTGTCGAGGGGGCTGTCCTATGTCTTGTAGAACTCTCAGCAGCATTTCTGACCTCTTCCTATCAGAACACCAGGAGCGTCCTGATTTGTTTCGGCTGAGTTTGTCACAATCGAAAATACCCCGATACATTGGCAGATGTCCCCTGGGAGGCAAAACTGTCCCTGCTTGGAAATGACTGATCAAAAGGTTCAGTTCTAAAATACAAACTTGCTGGGCCAGATTGTGCCTTTCAAACTCTATAGGTTCTTCTGGGGGAAACACTCTTGTGTAGTTTGTGAGGGTTTAAATGGCATTTTGATCTTCCTTTTCCATAGTATTTTCTTATGTCACATCATTTCAGTTGGTGTCTGGAACTACCTTCACCATTTAAAAAAATCAGTCCTATGGTTGGACATACCAGGTGCGTGTCTTAGACTGCGATGAATGTCACAGTGCGTGATCTTCCGCACGCCAAGTGTGAAGTTCACGTCTGTCTGCTGCTTCACTGGCCTGTATGACCTTGGGAAAGTTAATAATTTTCTCTGAGCCTCCGTTCTTCATCTGTGAACTGGGGATGAGAACCGTTCCTGCCTCATGGAGTTATACTGAGGATTAGATGCCATAAATGCACATAAAGTTCTTAGCGCAGGATTAGGCGTTAATCCTGTTTGGTGAATGTTGGCAGTATTTTTGTTATTATCGTGATTTCTGTGAGCCCGTTTCACTGTGCCCTCCTCGCCTGAGCCAGGGAGTTATGTATTTTTTTAAGGCTTCAGATTGCTTTCCCTCTGAGCCTGGATTGATGCTGTCCTTGGGCCTCATGTTCCCCTCGCAGATCCTGTTCTCGAACATCGAAGACATCCTGGAGGTTCATAAGGATTTCCTGGAGGCCTTGGAGTTTTGCTTACACCCGGAGCCTCAGTCTCAGCACGAACTTGGGAATGTGTTCTTAAAATTCGTGAGTACAATGCCCCAGCCCCTGTCGGAGCCTGTAGCTTTTAGGGAATGGGCTTCTCCCTGGGTCCCCTTAACCAGTTTCACCTGCGGGCCTGTCTTGGCGATGGAGAGGCAGGTGGGCAGGCAGGCCCAACCTCTGTCCCTGCAACACCGGGCAGAGTGTCGACCCCAGCGGACCAAGGGTCTGTTTATTAGCTGGCTCCCCTCCCTTCAGCGTCACCTGGAGTGTGGTCCCCTCTCCCTCAGAACTCTTCATTGAGTGACCGCATTCTGGGGTTCCTGTGGCCGCCTGGCTTGGCGGGGCCCCGGGGTGGACTCGGATCAGACACACCAGCGTTTGAGTCCTGGCCGGTGAGGCTGTTGACCCCTGGGCGCCCACTGGGACTGCGGAGACGGAGGCTGCGTCTGTTTCTCATGGCCACTGTCTTCCCAAGTCACTTAGGATTGTGGGAGGGCGGCTGGAGGGAGGCGGTGGGCTTAGCCCGCAGGAGGCACCTGCTTTTCCACGCCTGCTCATCCTGTGCCGCCTGGGACCCTCCCCGCCGGGAGGAAACCCGCCCTGGACTCGTGGGCAGGAGGCCTGGGCCAAACTCCTCTGCTCCCCTAGCCTCAGTTTCCTCCTCTGATTGAGAAGTAGGGATAATGATGCCTCCTTGGGTTGATGGAAAGACTCAAAGATGTAAAGCGATCAAACGTGTAGCCTAGGGCAGCGGTCCTCAAACAGGGGGTGATTTTGCCCCCAGGGGACGTTTGGCCACATCTGGGGACACTTCCGGGTGTCCCAGCTCGGGGAGGGAGGCCATGCTACTGGCTCCTTGTGCATGGAGGCCAGCCATGCCAGCAGTTAGCCCCTAATGCGCAGGATGGTCCCCACAACAGAGGCTTATCCCGCCTCAAGTGTCAGTGAGATGAGAGACTGTGGCCTGGGGCAAGGGCTTGGTCCATGCTGGCGCCTGCTTCCAATGTCACTGTCATCCTCGCTAACTCCCTTCTCCAGGGTGTCACATCCGGATGGAGGAGGGCGGAGCCGGGCTGCCCATGGGCTACGTTAGCCTCTGCAGGTTGTTTTAACTTGTCTGTGCCTCAGTGTCCTCACCTGTAGAATGGGTATAAAACTAGACCTGACCTGTGATATTGTTGAGGATCAGGTTTGTTAATATAAGGAAGGAGAAGGCTCAGAACAGCACACCAGGAAGTGCTCACTAAATAAATGTTGGTTATCAGCTGTCCATGTGGCCACTGTCCTTCAGTGTCTGAAATAGGATGAACACGAGAGAGAGATGGGACGCAGGTGAGCCGGGCACTCAGGGAGGGCGAGGAACAGGGCAGGGAGGTGATCTGCTGCAAGGGAGAGCCTGGAGGGGTGGGGGAGGCGGGGAGGCCAGGAGGAGGTCACTGCACGTGTGAGATGCTGGCGCCCTTGGGTGGAGTGGTGTCCATACGGGTGGTGAGAGGGGTGAGCAGCAGTGCTGGCTCAGGACACGTTTCTTTTACTTGTTTACCTATTTTTCTATCTTTTTTTGGCTGCTCCTTGAGGCTTGCAGGATCTTAGTTCCTTGACCAGGGATGGAACCCGGGCCCCAGCAGTGAAAGCACAGAATCTTAAACCCTGGACTGCCAGGGAACTCCCAGGACACGTATCTTGAATAGGAAAATAAAAAGGATGGGAGGGGCAGTCTTCCATTTGGGTTCAGAGGAAGGAGTGAACCACCATTTCTCTAGAGCCAGACTGCTTCTGTCTGATTCCCTGTTCTACCCCTGAGAAGCTGAGAGGCTTTGGGCAAGTCAGTTCACCTCGCTGGGCCTCAGTCTCTGACTCTGTAAAACGGGGGCAGTGATAGTACTTGCCGTGGGGTACCGTCATGAGGATGAAATGAGTTAATTTGAGTGAAGCACTGAAATCTGGCCTGGTGCGAGTGTCAGCTGTGGGCGTTATTCCAGCTGAGGGACCAGGGAAGGCTTCTGGGAGGCGGTGGCATTGTTGGGATGGCCTGTGAAGGGATGGCATCTGAACTGGAAGTGGAACAGTCCATACTTGAGCTGAGGGCGGGGAAGGGGTCCTCAAGGTGCATTATCCAGCTTGCCACTAACCCCAGGCTCTCTGGGTCCCCCGACTTCTCTGCCTGAGCAGCAGAGGTGTGTGGGAAGCAGGTTTAATAGACCAGCCAGCGAGGTCTCTGGATCGTGAGTCCCCACCGGGGCTAATTTGCTCAGAGATGCAGGGGATAGCTGGAGGAAGGAAGGTGGGGAGTTTAGGGCCCAGGAGGCAGCCTTCTTCTCCGTACCCTTCTGTACTCAGCCTGCAACCCTCCTCACACGGCCTCAGCAAACCGGACGATCGGGGCGGCAGTGTTTATCCTCAGAATCTTGATGTGTCGGCAGTGAAGTTCAGGCCTTTGTGGGAGAGCCAAACAAACTTATTTAAGAGGGAAATTTGCATCATTACTGGGTTTGGAAAGAGAGTGTCTCTCGCTGTTAAAAATAAATGCAGTAGAAGCCAAGCTGTGTTACGGCATTCCTTCCAGAAACTTCTGCCCTTCTGCGTCTCTGAGCTGACACCTGCTCAGGTGAACAGTTGGAGAAGGAAATGGGAACCCACTCCAGTGTTCTTGCCTGGAGAATCCCAGGGACAGAGGAGCCTGGTGGGCTGCCGTCTATGGGGCTGCGTAGAGCCGGACATGACTGAAGCGACTGAGCAGCAGCAGCAGCAGATGAACAGTGTCAGACTGGCTTTGGTGTCTCGCCACAGCTTGCTGACACCCTCCCTGAGGTTACTGAGACAGCTGAAAGTGGAGTCCGCTTTCTCAGTGGGTGACTCGGAGTTTTTAACTTAAACTCATCTTTTTCATTAAAATATTGCAGTCGTCACCCCCTGCCCCCCATGCTCATGGAGGATGCCGCTGAATTCTTTTCAAAAGGGTCCACTGCTGTAGATTGGTTGTCTGGAAGCCCGAGGCCTGCGTGCAGGTGGCCTTGTTGGAAGCAGTTCAAGAAGAAGGTTGCAGTCTCCACTTGGCCTGACCCCACCTGGGGTTGAGGAAACGCTGGAGCTGGGGTGCCTCTTCCTTCAGGTCACCCCAAATTGCCACGAAGGAATGGGGCTTCTGCACCCCTCTTGGATGGGGGCTATCCTGGGGAGTGGATGGACAGCCTCAGGCAGGCCAGGTGCTGTCTCAGACTGAGGGGGGTCCCTGGGGAGGGATGCACGGATGGGATACCGTCGCCACCGCATCCCTGAGGGCCCCAAAGGGAGGGAGTGCCCGGGCCAGCAGGACTGCACCAGGGTGGCGATTGGGAGCAGAGCTCTGCGGTCGAGGAAGGGGCATCTCAGACCCTGTGAGGGGCTCTGGCTTACAGACCAGCCCACCCCTGCTGCCCAGTCAGTGGACGGTGGGAAACTCCATCACCCCCTCACCCCTAGGCCCAACCCGTGACTACTGAGATGATCACAAACTAGCATTCAGTCAACTTTCTCTTTGTCCCAGGTGGTGTTCTGAGTTCTTTATGTATACTAATTCATCACAGCATCACAACAACCTTTAACCGTGGGTACTATTATTATACGCACTTTACAGACGCAGAAACTGAGGCCCAGAGAGGATAAGTCAGTGTGCAAGTTTACCCAGCCAGTAAGTGTTGGAGCTGGGATTTGAGCCAAAGTCGTCTGATTCTGAGTCTCGTGGTTTTCACCATTCTACATGATAAAGTCTCTTAATAGTATCATTAAGCACCTACTGTGCACCAGTCACTGCTTTTGGCCCTGAAGTTGGTGCCCTAAATAAGACAGACCTGCCTTTTGCTGCCATGAGGCTCTTAGGCCAAAGATGTGGAGGGTTCATCAGTTGAGAGAGGATGTCATTGCAGATGGGGATGTGGATTTGTGAAGAATACACGATGCATGTGTAAGGAGTAACTCCTTGAGGTTGTATGAAACTTGGAAGTCAGGAATAGGGTTGCTAGATTGAGCAAGTAAAAACACCTAGGATGGCTGAGATAAATTTGGATTTCAGGTAAACAGCAGATTATATTTTATTTTATTTTATTTTTTTAAAATTTATTTATTTATTTATTTATTTATTTTTTTAATATTTTAATGTAAGTATGTTTCATATGGGCTTCCCAGGTAGCTCAGTGGTGAAGAATCTGCCTGCTAATACAAGAGATGTGGCTTTGATTCCTGGGTTGGGAAGATCCCCTGGAGAAGGAAATGGCAACCCAATCCAGTATCCTTGCCTGGAAAATCCCATGGACAGAGGAGCCTGGTGGGCTACAGTCCGTGGGGGTCACAAAGAGTTGTACACAGCTGAACAACTGAGCACGCACACAGCATGTATTTCATACGATGTTTGGGACACACGTATCCTAGAACACGCTTCCTGGTTTATCTGAGGGCCCTCAGCTCAGTGTCCTGTGTTTTATCTGGCCATCCTGGTCAGGGAAGGCCTCTGTGAGGTGGTGAAGTGGGGAATCTCGGGGGAGGATATTCCACATGGAGAGGAAGCCGGGACTGGGGGCCTTGGCTGGAGCGGGCTTGGTCCACAGCGGGCAGGCAGGGAGGCCAGCATGGCTGGAGCAGAGTGAGTGATGGAGGGAGACCAGGGGTGTCATGGTCGGGGGGGATGGCGATCCTGCAGGGACTGCATTCTAAGAGTTGGAGGGTTTAGCAGGATGTGGTGTGGTCAGCTATGTGGACAGGCGGATGATCAGTTGGGGAAAGTGACCTGAATCTCACACTCTTCTTCCCACCAGAGGTGTCTGCATGGCCAGCTCCTTCCCTTCTCCGAGTCTCAGTCTTTGCGGGTGTGAAGTGTGGCTGGGAGCAGATGGTCTCTGTGGAGCTAGTGACATTCCGCGCCCCCTCCCCCCGGGTACTGTGGACAGCAGCCACCCAGCTGACGACCCTTGAGCACTTCCTCGGGGTCTCAACCCTCTCCCCCAGCCGTCCCCACCTGGCAAGCGTCCCCTTCTCTTCCTTCACAGCCCAAACCCACTGCCACGTGCTCCCCACCTCCCACATCTGTGTGTGCACAACTGTGTGTCCATTTCCTCCTGGCCAAACAATCAAAGCCCCGTGTAGGGCCCCTAGGAGGAAACAGAATGCTTGGCCTCTTCATTGTCAAAGGCGGCATTTTCACACTTGCTGCATCTTGGGCCTGAGATGCAGCTGGGATTGGGCTCTGTAAATGGAGATGGGAGTGATGAAACTCGGCATGGTTTTGAAGAGGGGATGTTGTCAGTTGCTAAATTTAACTTCTCCGAGCCTCAGACCTTGGTCCCCTGCCCTTTTCACTACGGAAGGAGAGGATGAGAAGTCAGAGAAGGGGCTTAGGGAACGAGGAATGACAAACCCGTGGAGATCTTCCCACTTACTCCCCTTTCGTGCATCCATCACAGACATCACTAATCAATTACAGCATTCTCCATGGGGCTCCAGAGTTGTTCTCGCTAGTGTTTCAGCCAGCATTACTTATTGATTGGGGTTGGCATGTGAAAATGAACAGATTTGGGCTGTGCTTTTTGGATTAAGCCCTTCATGGTGCAGATAGAGATGAACAGGAAGACTGTGTCATCTCACCAGGCTTGGATCCATTTTTTTCATTTTCTTCCCCTTCTAGAAAGTGCATATATTAGGACTGTCTTTACTGCAAGTGACGAAAACAACTCAAATAGGCTTAAACAACAGCAACAATAAAGGACTTAACTGACTCATACAAATGAAATAGTGTTGGTTGACGTCAGGTATAGCTGCATCCAGGATCCCATGTGATGTTTTCAGAATGTGTTCTTTATCTTTAGGCTCTGCTTTCCTCTGTTTTGGTTTTATTTCTTGGAGTGATGGCAGAGGTGGTCCTCAGCAGTTTCAGGGTGACAGTCTGCTCACTTAGAAACAAAAGTTCAAAGAGAGCTTCTCTTTGCAATAATTCCAGCATGAGTCCTTGAGGGCTCTCTGGGACTTGGGTCACATGACCACTGCTGCCAGGACTGGGCCTGGGCATCATGCTCACCCCTGGTGCCTGGGGGTGGAGTCGAGTCAGTGGGGTCAGAGTGTAGGAGGCAGGCGCCCAGGGGAAACACTGGGGGCTGAGACCAAAGCCAGGGGGCGTGGGTGCTGGGTAGGTGGAAGAACATACGGGCGAACCATGAGGCTGCGTTGTGGAGGATCAGAGGAAGAGTGAGGCTGGCATGAGGGTCTTGGGCATGACACAGCTCCCCCGTCTGCTCCCTCGCTTCATTTGTCAAGTAGGTGTCTCTTCTCTGTCTGGGACTTCAGTCCTCCCTGGCATCGTAGCCGTGACCTCAGCAGGTGCAAACCCTGCCTCCAAGGAGATCCTTGTCCAGGGTGTGGTGGTGGGGAAATGGACAGTGCAAAAATGAGACATCAAACATTCTGGGGGGCAAGAGTCACCATGTTTTACAAAATCTGCCTGGTGCCTTCCTTGGTGCCCTGCCCCAGACCCACGAGTCCACTTCGCTCTCTTCCTCCTGACTCTGCCCATCTCTTTTTTGCCATCAAAACCTACCCACCCCCTGCCCCACTTGTCGTATTGTAGATGGGTTCACCAATGGGATAGTGAATTTGCGGAAATAACAGCGATAGTCATCATAACAACGTCGACAACAGCAATAACAGTAGTTGTTGATAGTTAAGGAGTCCCTTCTGGGCACTTTTACACATTTACTATAAATTCACTTGATGACCCTCACAACAACCTTACGATCGGGAGGTCATCACTGTCGGTAATTTATAGGCATGAATGCAGAGACTCTGACATTTTACGAGGTCGCAGAGCTGGGAATCTGGGCTGTGAACCTGGGTGGTCTGGGTGTAGAACCTGGGCTCGCACTTAGGAGGCTGATGCAGATGGTGGTCGCGAGGGCTTTGCTGTCTTACCTTGGAGCTATACTAATAGCAGAGCCTGTAGTCTCTTGGCTGTAGAACCGGGCATCAGTATGGGGGTTGAGAGAGGTCGAATCCTGTTCTGCCGCTTTGCTAGGGGTGAGGCCCTGGAGATCAGCCTTTCCTTGGTTTCCCACGTGGGTGAGGGGTCGAATACAGTCGTCCGCGTGTCAGGGGATTGTGAGATGTGGGTGAGTCTGCCTGCATTCCAGGACAGCGTGGGGTGGCCAGTCCTGACCCCTCCGCGCACGTTCCGTGTTGGCTGCGGGCTCCATCTGTAGGCTTTTTGCAGCTCAGATGGTGCACATGCAGCCCCAGACGGGGCTTGCTGATTCCGAAACCTCTGCCCACCGGCAGGATGACTGGGGGCTTATTTAGAAACAAGATGAGCTGCTTACCTTGCAGACCCACCTCTTCCTTCCTAAGCTTCTTGGGGTCTCCCGGCCACCCCCTCAGCCCGAGGTCAAGAGCCGTCAGCCCTTCCTGTCCTGTGGCCTTCCCCAGGACATCCTTGTTTGGGGTTTGGCGGCGTGGGAGGCGGTATCCTTTAAGCCTTTGGGAACTGAGACTGCTCGGTGGAGAGCTTCCTGCGAAGACGGCTCCTGGCCCCTCCAGTCCCGGAAACCCTGCCTGATGGTTACAGACTTGGGGACCCACAGGTGATCTCTAGCCTGTAAAGAATCTAGCTTTGGGCTCTAGGACTTCTGGAGGTCAAGAGAGCGATCCCCCATCTCAGCGGTGCCACGGCTGCCATGGCAGTGACCAGAGGTCTACGTGTTCTCCCAAATTCCTGAGTCTTATTTAGACTCTTGTGGTTTACATACATAGGGCATTGTGCATAGCAGGTGTGTGAGTTCATTCGTTAAGTGTTCGCTGCGGGCCTACTGTGTGCCAGACCCTGTGCTGGGACCTGGGGACCCCTCAGTGAACTAGAGGATGTGGTCACTGCCTTCAGGGAGCTGACGGCCAAGTGGGGAAGGACAGATGATGGACAGATAATCTAGATAATTCCAGATGGCGGGAATGCTATAAAGAAAAGGAAGATGGTGGTGGGGGAGTGATAGAGAACACTTGGGTGGCCACTTTAGCTAGGATGGTCCAGGTGTCGTTTGAGGAGGTGGCATTTGAGTGGAGACCCCAATGGTGCAGAGTTGCTAGGCTTTGGGCAAGAGTGTTCCAGGCAGAAAGAAGACAAGAGCAAAGTCTGAGAGGTAGAAACAGGCTTGGCAAATCTAAGGAGCAGGTAGCAGGCCAGTGAGAAAGGCAGGGTCACATTGGTTGACCCTTGAAGGCTATAACGAAGTGTTGGATTTCATTCCTAGTGTAGCAGGACACCACTGCAGAGTTTAAGCCATGGTGTGACACAGTCTGATTTGCATTTTGATTGTAAAGACATTTATTGAGCATTTACTGTATGGTGAGACCATGCCTATTAAATCTTAAATTTAATTAAGAACTCCATGAGCTAAGGACTGTAATTAATTCCACCTCAACAGATGAGGAAACCAAGGCACAGAGAGTTCAGCTAGCTTGCCCCAGTTCACAGCTGGAAATGCAGAGCCAGGGTTCAAGTCCAGTCTGCCTGGCTTGAGCCTGTATCCTTGACCCTGGGCCATGCTGCTCCCTGGGAGGTTGCTGGGTGCAGAACTGGGGCCAGAGTGGAGGTGGGAGGTCAGTGGAAGCTCCTTCAGCTGAAATCCCGCCTGCCAGGTGTCTCTCAGGGTCTGGGGTCCCCCTCTCATCCTGGGCCCCGCTGGCCCAGTGGTCCAGCACGTCTCAGAGCGTCTGCCTCCCTGCTGTGAGCTGCCTCCCACAGGCTCTGTCCGTGTCTTGCAGAAGGACAAGTTCTGCGTATACGAAGAGTACTGCAGCAACCACGAGAAGGCCCTGCGGCTGCTTGTGGAGCTGAACAAGATCCCCACCGTGCGCGCTTTCCTCCTGGTAAGTCAGCCGCAGCCCCAGCCCCGCCGCCCTCTGCCTCAGCTGGCCGGTCCGCACAGGCCCGCGCCGCCTGGCCCCTGCTCGGCTCGGGCGGCCTGGGTGCAGCAGAGACGTGCTCTGTGAAGGCCCGATGGTGACTCACTTTTGCCTCACTTACAGCCCCTGTCGCAACAACTCTACTCTGCTACTATAGCGTGAAAGCAGCCATTGGTAATATATAAGAAATGAGCTGTGTTCCAACCAAACTTTATTTATAAAAGGAGATATAGGGGGCTGGATTGGCCCTAGGGCCAATTTGACCAATTCCTGGTCTAAAGTAATGATCCAGATAAAACTGGTAACAACAGTAGTAGTAAATATATTATTGTGTGTGTGTGTGTGTATGTTAGCTGCTCAGTCGTGTCCCACTCTTCGCAACCCTACGGACTGTAGCCTGCCTGTCTCCTCTGTCCGTGTCTATTCCCAGGCAAGAGTACTGCAGTGGTTGCCATTTCCTTCTTCAGGGGATCTTCCTGATGCAGGGCTTGAACCCAGGTCTCCTGCATTGCAGGCAGATTCTTTACTGTCTGAGCTATCAGGAAAGCCACAATTATATTATTAGGATTATTAATTGTAAGTGGAAGAAAATCTGGTTAAAATTGGCTTGAGGAAAAAAAAAATTACTAGTTCATTCCTCTGGGAAGTTTAAGACCTAAGACAGCTTCAGGTACAGCAGAGTCTGGGCGTTCCAGTGACACCACCAGCAATGTCTCTTGGTTCTGCTTTTCTCACCTGGGCTCCGTTGCCAGGCAGGCTTTCCTCATGAGGTGGCAGTGTGGCCTTTAGCAGCTCCATGCCTGTGCCTCTCATAGCCAAGCAACTCCAGGATGAAGAGGGCTTGGTTGTGTCCAGCACTTTGTGACCCCATGGACTGTAGCCCGCCAGGCTCCTCTGTCCATGGGGATTCTCCAAGCAAGGATACTGGAGTGGGTTGCCATTTCCTTCTCCAGGATATCTTCCCAACCCAGGGATCAAACCTGTTGTCTCCTACATTGCAGGAAGATTCTTTACCAACTGAGCTACGAGGGAAGCCCCTTTAAATAAGGTAGACATTGTATTTCTCTCCTAATGTGGAAATAGACAATCTAGGGCTATTATACGGGCCCCAATGTCGGGGTCAGTGTCCCAGTGTATGCCCTCATCATCGATATGGTCTAAGATGACATCGCATCACTTCCACACTGCAGGTAGTAAGATGCAGGATGGATGGAAAGAAGGGCCGGCCCCTCCCCTTCTCTGGGCACCGTGGGAAGCTGCACACAGCTCTTCTCACATCCCATTGGCCAGAGCTTAGTCACATGGCCATCCCTAGCTGCAAGGGAGGCTGGGAAATCTAAGCTTTGTTCTGGGCAGCCCTGTGCCTAGCTGAAAGTTTATTTGCTATGGAAGAAGAATGCATTCAGGGTCACCACCTAGATGTTGCCACAAGTCTTTTTGATGACTCCAAAATATTAAGTGACTTTCTGAGAGTACCTACTTGAAAAGTGATTGTGCTTCTCATGGGTTTGGCTCTTTATTTTTTGACTCTGAGTTCCCTGCTCATTCAGTCACAGACCACCCCAGCCTCCACCAAGCCCCCATACTATTTTATTGCCTGAAAGCACACACAGGATTCAGCACACAAAAGTAAACAGTCAACTGACCTGGCATAAATCGTCTTAACCACATGCCCAGAGAGCTAAACTATGTAATGCAATTCTTAACTACACTTTGCCCGAGTGCACAGTCTCCAATAATGTATTTCCGGGATTTGAGTCATGATGTATGTTTCCTTCACTAGTGAGCTGGTGTTGCTTGGCCCAGTTCCAGTGAGCATCTGAGGCAGGACAGATTGGTCAACTGATTTCCGCTTTTGTCCCAAGCATCTTAAGCGTTCAGGACTGATGATGCTTTTTGTTGCTGGTATCTTCATCTTTCCTTTTCCACTTTTCCACTCATATTCAGAAGTGACACAAAGCAAAGTTAAGTCAGGCCGTGTAAGATCACACACGTGGGTATGTTTCTGTGATTGACCCAAAACTCAGTAGTGTTCTAGTTGCCTGGGTTCTGGACTCCCTGAGTCCCACCTTCTGGGCTCAGCTCTGTCTTGGGAAGCAGGAAGATGTCAGGAAGTTGTTTTCAGGGGTTTGGGACAAAAGGGACTCCCTTCTTTCCCCTTCCTCTCTCTCCTGCAGTCTTCCTGGTGGCCGGGCTGCCCTTTTCCTAGCAGCAGCCAGGCGGGCCGGGTTGGGCAGGGGGAGGAGGTGTGGGCGCCAGCACACACACCATCTGTTTCCCTCCTTGCTGGCATCTCCCGGCTTCTGGCCACCTGCAGAAGAGCCGTCTCGAGCCTATTATGGGATGTTAAGGCACTGGGAACAGACACCATCTGCTTTCCATTCATGATGTGCTGTGCACTAGTGGAGAGATGGGGCAGGGAGTTCATCTCTCTGTGCCTCAGTTTCTTGTCTGTAAAATGGGGATAATGGATTCACTTATTCATTCACCAGTTTCATTTTGAGTTGCCTGACATGTGGTCAGGATCATTCTAAGTCCTGGGGATACAACAGTGACCAAGGCAAGAAGAGTCCCTGCTCTCATGGAATGGCCATTCTCATAGGGGAGATTTCCATGGTATGTCATGTGGCATTAAGTCCTCTGCAGGAAATAAAGTAATTTAAGGATGACAGGATGTTTTTGGGTGGCAGCTGCTATTTTAGATGGCTCTTTGGATAAACAGCATCTTAGGTGACATTTAAGCAGAAACCTGGATAAAATTAAGAGTGAGAGACAAGTTGTATCTGGAGGGAAAGTATTCTAGGTAGAGGATTGCAAGTGCCAAGGTCCTGAGGCCTGTGTGTGTTTGAGGAATAGCGAGAAGGGCACGGTGGTTGCAATGGAGAGTTTGAGAGGAAAAGTAGGACGCGGGGTAGGAGAAAGATTGAAAGAGACCAGATAATGAGGGAGCATCTAGACAATGGAATGAATCTGAGATTTTTAGAAAGCTTTTTTTTATTGCCGTGTAGCATACGTGCAGTGAATGTACTCACAGCATAATGAATTCTCCCATATGTGTGCTCCCGTGGAGCCACCCCCGAGATCAAGATTTAGAACCCTTCTGTCACTCCGGAAAGCACCCTCCTCCATCCCCTTTCCCAGTCATGCCCCTCTGTGCAGCCAGAGGTAACCTCTGTGCCAGGTTCTCTCACGAAAGGTTAGTTTTGCCTGTTCTAGAATGGTTCACGAATGGAGTCGCAAGGAGGCTTTGTGTCTGCCTTCTTTCGCTCCGCAGAACGTCTGTGAGATGCGTCCAGGTTGGAGCATGTGGCAGTCCTTTCAATAGAATATTCAATTTTAGTCTGAGTGGGATGCAAACCATGGGATGGTTCTGAGCAGAGGAGTGACGTGCACTCATCTGCATTTTGGACGGCTCTCCTTGGCCCTGTGACGGTGGAAGCTGGGCGGAGACCAGGCTGGGGGCTTGTGTGGGTTGCCCTTGGCTGCTGTTACAATGCTTACAAGCTGGGTGGCTTAGAACAGAATGATTCTCTCACACTGCTGCAGCCCGAAGTCTCAGACCACGGTGTCGGCAGAGCTGTGCTCCCTTCGATGGCCCCCGGGCAGGACCTTGCCTTTGCTCTGCTAGCTTCTGGTGGCCTCACGTGTTTCTGCCTTGTGGAACATACCTTCAGCCTCTGGCTCCCTCTTCACTTGTCTGCCTTCTCTGTGTCCTGTCCTCCTCTTTTAGGGGCACGGAGCTGGTTGGTTTCAGGCCCACCCTAATCCCGAATGAGAATGACCTCATCTTAATTTAACTAATTATATCTGTGAAGACCTTATTTCAAAAGAAGGTCACATTTTGACATTCCGGGTGGGCGGGACACTTGGGGGGTGGGGCATGATTCAGTCCCCTTCGAGGGCTGCTGCAACCATCCAGGCAAGAGATGATGGTGGTGAAGATGGGGTGGTAGTGTTTGAGGGCTCCGTCATCCAGTCGTGTCCGGCTTTGTGACCCCATGGACTGTAGTCCGCCAGGCTACTCTGTCTGTGGATTATTCCAGGCAAGAATACTGCAGTGGGTTGCCATTTCCTTCTCCAGGGAATCTTCCCCACCCAGGGATTGAACCTACATCTCCTACATCTCCAGCATTGGCAGGCAGATTCTTTATCACTGAGCCACCTGGGAAGCCCATATTATACATTAATATACTATATATCACCAAGATATATAGGTAATATTGGCTATCAAAAAGTTTTACCACTCTGAAAAAAAACTTTGCATTTGAGAGGTAGTTGGATTCATGTAGAGTCCGATTGTCCAGCTGACAACATTTGCTGTGTGCTTGGCTTTGGTGTATTAATGAACGAGAGGAATCAAAGATGACTCCAGGGTTTGGAGCCCAAACAGCTGGAAGAGTGGAGATATGATTTCCTGAAATGGTGAAGGCTGAGTAGGAGCCAGGATGAGAGGTAAATAGAAAAGAATTTCCTTTTGGATATATATGAGGTTTACGATGCCTGTTAGATTCCCAGGTGGGAATTTGGGCCAGAATCAGAGATTTGAGTCTGGGGTATAGGGAACCGAGGGGCCAGGCTGGAGATAGAAAGCTGAGTGTTTCTTCATTAAGGACAGTTAAAGAGGTGAGAGTGATGGTTCTGGATGAGGTAAGGTGGGGATAAGTATGGGTGGATAGGAGGACCTGGGACCACGCCGGGCACAGCTGCCGTTAGAAGGTTGGGAAGAGGCTGAGGATGACACATCACCTGGATCAGTTCTGTGGATTAGGATGGTTTAAAGAGAGGATTCTCAAAAGTTCTTCCCATACTGCCCGGGGCATAATCTTATTAGAATAGTGAATAGCTCTGTGTGTGCTTGCTTTTTTTTTTTTAATGAAAATAAAGTGAAACAATAATCTAGGATGTTTGGGGTGAAGAGGAGGTGGTGGCTGTGACAGTCCTGTGAAAACTTCTTGATCCTGAACAAAGAGCCAGGCCTTTCTCCCGCCAAGCCCTGGGGGCGTCTGGAAAGCAGCCTCCACTCCCAGTCCCCCTCTCTCTGCCCAGAGCTGACATCACCAGGGCAGCCTGTGGGGACCGCTGGCTTGGAGGACAAAGGCCCGAGTGTGAACGGCATGGGGCCTGGCATATCCCAGCTGCTGCAGCCCCAACCCCCAGTCTGTGCCAGGCGTAGATGTGGGGCTGGGAGCCATGCAGCTCCTGCCAGAGCAGGGCCCCAGGGTCCCTGGGACTCTGCTTCTCCAAGGAGAGCGTCTGCAAAGGTCCCCGAGAGGCAGTGGACGCAGGTCTGAGACTTGGGCCAGTGCTTCCGGCTCTTGAGTGCCAGTTTGCCCATTTGGAATGGGGATCTGGTTCATTCTGGGGCTGTGAGCATAAACTTTACTTGTGGGTGAAGCCAAGACGCAGAACCTTAAGCATGGTCAGCGCATGGTAAACGTTCTCTAGTCTTATCTGCCCTTGACCGTACGGCAGGGAATTTGCCTGCTTTCTTGAGCAGTTCCCCAGTGCTTGGAACCGTGTCCAGCGCATAGTAAGCACACATTGTGTATCTGTAGAATGAATGAATGATTGATAGGATGGGAATCCCTTTTCCCGGGAGTCCTGTTCCATTTCCAGTCTGCTAGCATGCTGTTGAGGAGGAAGGCTGAGACCCCTTCATTGCTGGATGTGCTGGCAGTTTGTTCATTCACTCATTTGTTCATTCATTCATTCACTGGGCCGTGGTGAGCCCTAGCGACTGGACTAGGGACTATGGCTTGGCTAGGGACAGCCCCTCATTAGGGACTTTGAGGGGTGTGGTGAGAGACCGTGGTAGACTTGTAACTTGGTACATTTCTTTCCCATGCATGACTTTCTGCTTTAGTACCCATAGATTCTCTGTAAAGAATGTCTAGTTTTGTTTTGTGTGTTGTTCAAAGCTTTATATAAATGAGTTCACACCATACATACTCTTGTTTCCTTTTTTTGCTCAAGAGCATGTTTTTGAGGTTCACCCATACTGCTATAGAGAGCTTTAGTTCTCCCGTTTTCATGAGTGCGTAGTGTACCATTGTAGAAATCTGCAAACATTTTTCAGGTTGCTTTCTGTTGTTTGCTGCTACAAACAAGGCAGTTTTGAGTGTCCATGTTCCTGTGTCCTAGTGCGTGTGTGTGAGTTTCTGTAGATCAGGGGTTGGGGGACTTTTCTGTAAAAGGTCAGAGAGTAAATATTTTGGGTTTTACAATTATAAGGTCTCTTTTACAGTTACTCAGCCTTGCCATTATAGCTTGTTTGCAGTCACAGACAGTATGTAAACAAATGAGTATGGCTGTGTTCCAATAAGAAATTTAATTGACAAAACAGGATTTGGCCCCTGGGCTAAAATTTGTCAACTTCTGATCTAGGGTTTGTGCTGGATTGTAGACCTTACAAATTTCTTCCTGTCCTCTGTGTTAAGTTGCTTCCAAAGTGTTTGCATATAGCTCCATTTTGCAAGCGCTTCCCACGATTATTTGAGGGTGACCAGACTCCTTGGCTGTCCTTGGTGAGTTCTGATGAAGGTCTCCTGTCTCTTTGCAGAGCTGCATGCTTCTCGGAGGCCGGAAGACCACGGACATCCCTCTGGAGGGCTACCTGTTGTCTCCTATTCAGAGGATCTGCAAGTACCCCCTCCTCCTCAAGGTGAGTCGTTCCCCCTATTCCTTTGGCCAATTCTTTAAAAAAAAATTCTACTGGAGTATAATTGCTTTACAACGTAGTGTCTACCCCTGATTTTGAACCGACAGAAAATTCAGCTCTGTCAGGCTTAAGCAAAGCATGAAGCTTGCTGGTTTAAGTAGCTGAGAAGCCTAGGGGCGACATTAGTTTTGGGCCGGGCTGCATCCAAGCCAGGGCCCTGCCACTTTCTTTCTGGTTCAGTTCTGCTTCCCACCTTTCAGCTTTCTTTTCAGTGTGGTAGCAAGTGGCTGTATTTGCTGCAGCCTTGCACCCTATCCAGTTCAAAGACAATGGGGAAGAGAGAGCCTCATTTCCAGCAGCTCTGACAAAAGTCCTGAGAGTCATTCAGGTTTTAGCCATCTATGGCCAGGAGAACGCGACATTAGGAATAACTTGGGCCTGAGTCACAGTGCTTGAATTTGAACCAATTGCTTGTGTTATTTATTCGCCTCTCATTTGCCTGGACTTGGACACCTGGACTGGGAGCCCCGACCCCATCATGATGAGCTCTGATTGGCTGAGATATGGTCCAATAACAGTGAGCAGGGCAGTGTCATGTTCTGATTGGCAGAGACCAGAGTCAAGTGCTCCACCCCTGAGCCATTCACCCTGAGCAAGTGAGTTCTGATTGGCAGACTTGTGTCATGTGCTCCAGCCAACCCCTGGATTGCACAGGCCACAAGTCCAGTGATGGAGAGAGAGGGAGCCCCTCACCAAAGTCTGGGTTCTTTGTGGATGAGGGGCTGGGGTGGGGAGATGGGGCAGGGAGATGCTGGGTGGGCGAACCAGAGCCATCCACGCATCGGCTGTCTCCTTCCCTGCCCACCCATATTTGACTTAGCCTTGGTCAGGCAGGCCAGGGGAAGGTGTGCTGCTTGCGTGGGAGCCTGAGAAGCCTTGATTATCAGCTTCGGATTTGGCTTCTGGGCAGGTCCCCGGCTGGGAGGATGGCTCTGCCACCATCTACTGCTTTCAGCCCAGGGTTTTCAGCCCTTAGACATGGTGGCTGTTGGCCTGGGCCTGCCCTGGCTCCATCCTGAAGGCCTTATGTCTGACAGCTGTTCTCTGGGGTCCCTGCTGGTGGATTAAGTTGGCTGGTGGTGCCTCATTCACACACCTGCTCACTGGGGCCACACGCGTCTTTGCTCCATGAGCTGAAAGGGAGAGGGAAGGGGGGAAAGTACTGAGATGGCCAGAAAGTTTCTTCAGGTTTTTCCGTGATATGTAATGGAAAAATTCAAGTGAATTTTTGGCCAGCCTGATACTAGGGTATTCTTGAACCAACCTTTCTGCTGGAGGCGATGGGTGACCCTTGAGCCTCTGAGTTGGACCAGACCCTTTCAAGGGCTATCCACTCTGCCTGTGAACACAGACCTTTAACGTGTATAGCGGTGGGTGGTGGCACCCAGCTCTCCCTGTGCTTCCTCTTGCCTGCTGCTGTTTGTCTGCCCCGGGAATCCGGAAGAACCGTCTACAGTTGTTGCAGCTGCTTTGATCCCCAAACAGATGTTGGAAATGCCATACGAGGCTCACCTCTTCACCTTGGTGCTGAAGAAGCCCCAGGTGGAACTTGTAAACTGGTAACCTGTAGACTGCAGTGGACCTGCAGATGGGCTTTGTTTGATGTCTTTGGTGTGTTTGCCAAACTTGAATCAGTTGCCGGTGTCCAAGAGTTAGCGTTCTGCAGTGGTTCAGGGCAGGGGCTGGCAAACTGTGGCCTGTGTGCCAAAATCCAGCTCATGGGCTGTTTTTGTACAATCCGCGGGCTAAGAATGGTGTTTGCATTTTTTTAAAGGTTGTTAAAAAAGCCCCCAAGACAAACAAAGAAGAATATGTGACAGAGACCGGATGTGGCCAGGAAAGCCTGAAATATTTACAATCTGGCCCTTTATAGAGAAAATTTGCTGACCCTTGGATGAGGGCCAGGAACTGCAGTCACAGGCTGTCTGGGTTTGAATCCTGGGTCTGCCATTTACTGGCTACGTAAACTTGGGGGCTTCCCTGTGCCTCAGTTTCCCATCTGTAACACAGTGTTAGTATCAATACAAACAGGTAGGGTTGATACTGTGATCAAACATTTATTTACTTAATTCTTAACTCAATGAGGTAGGCACTGGGATCAGCCTCATTTTTGAGATGAGGCCCAGAGGCAGAGAAAGGAAGTGGCCCGTTTGAGGCCACACATTAGGTAAGCAGCAGGGGCCATGGTTGGAACCCGGGCAGTCAGAGTCTAGAGTTCTGCCTCCTAACCGTCAGGCTACACGGCCTGTTGAGAAGCACTTTGGAGAGTCTAAACTGCCAAAGCGCTGGTGCGTCGGGGGTGCTGGCCTTCTCAGTTCCCTAGATGGGGTCTGGGGAAGGTTGGTAGCCTTGCGTTTTGTGGCTCAGTGGCTGGTCTGCCCCTTCTTTCCTGGATTTCAAATCCTTGAATATGTGACCAATTAGAAGCATCACCAGCTATAGCCCCAGACCCCAGCCAAGGTTGCCTAGGGATTAATGTTTGGTTTCTGGACCTTGGGAAAGTCTAGGATTCCAGTGGCCACTCGGAAAGGCAGTTTCTGTCTTTTAACAAGCCGGGGGGCTGGACCTGTGTCTCCCCAGGGCCTCTAAGCTCACCATGTGAAGTCCAGGTGGGTCTGGGACCTGCCAAGCCCCAGGGGCTGCAGTTTGGTCTGGCGGAGATGCTGGGCTCTGATTTCCCTGAGCAGAGAGAAACAGAACCCACTGGCAACTGATACAGGATTAACTGCCCACAGGAAACAGTGAGGAAGCAGGGCTGTGGGTTTCCCTCCAGACCAAATGGCTGTTTACACTCCCTGTTTCCTCCATCTCCAGCTGTGTTTATCCGGGGCTCAGAGAGCACTGGGGACCAGCCAGCAGGGCCCGAGATTCCGTGGGGCCATGCCATGCTCCCCGCCCGGCACAATTGCTCAGAGTGTCCTGGCCTTTGGCACCCGCAGCTGGAATGTTTGCATCAGAAAACAGCTGGGGTGGAGGGGAACTCTTCATACCCCTCCTGAGTTCCTCCGTCCTGTCACATTTTCCAGCGGATTTCCAAAGATGACCCCACGAGTGTGGGGCAGCTGAGCCCCAACCCTCTGTTCTGCTCCCACCCCCTCTGACTCTGACGCCCTCGCAGCTGTCCCCGTGGCCTTCTGTCTGAGCCCCCTTGTGTGAGCTGAACTTTGAATTGAGGAGGCGAACAGGGTTGAGGAGCCTGGGTGGGAAGGGGGAAGAAGCGAGAATGAAAGCCTCTTTTGGGAACTGCCCCAAAAAGCTGAACTTGAATGTTGCCTAAGAATAGCCGGAACATTCTATTTCAGCCTGCAGCCCAGGCCTGGGATAGACAGTTGGCATTTTCAGGCTTTGTTGAGTTTTCCATCAACGTTTCCAGGAGAATGATTCAGGCTTGGGGTGATGCCCCCGGGGCTCAGATGGCAGGTGCCTGAGGGGAGACCCACTGACCCTGACCCTTGTAGCTGTCGCTGGATGACGTGTGTATCTTACGTTGCTTGCTGCACACCAGCTTCTGCCACAGCTCAGGACCGCAGTCACGAGCAAGACAGACCCAGGGCCTGGCCCTAGGAACTCTCAGTCTGGGACTGGACCCATGTCTGTGGTGGAAGCAGGGTTGAGGCCAGCAGGGGGCCGAGTGAGGGTGCCCATCGGCTTCAAGGGGACAGCTGCCCCTCTAGCCCCCTCTTCGCTTTGCCTCCTGCCTCTCTGACCCCTCCCTCGCAGTCTCCTTTGCTGTTTCCTCACCTTCTAGGCCTCCAAGCATAGGTGGGCCCCAGCCTCTGTCCAGGGGCCTTTCTCCATCTGCACTTGTGTCTGCAGTAGCCTCGACCATTCTGTGCCCCTCCTTCTTAAAGTAGATTCAGCAGTTGTGCAACCATCACCAGCACAGTAATTTTAGAACATTTTCATCACTCCCGAGAGAAACTGGATCCACGAGCAGCCACTTCCCTTTCCCTTCCTCCCCGACCGCCCAGACCCCCAGTAAGCACTCATTTACTTTCTGCTCCTGCGATTTTGCCTACTCTGGACATTTCGTGTGAGTGCAGTCGTATGAAGTGTAGTTTCGCGTGTCTGGCTCCTTTCACACAGCAGAGTGTCTTCAATGCTCATCCACGTCGTCGTGTCCATCACATCTTTATTCCTTTTTATGATGGAATGACATTCCCTTGTGTGGGGATACTGCGTTCTGTGTATCCGTTCATCAGTTGAAGGGTGCTTGGGTTGTTTCCACTTTCTGGCTTTTGTGAATAGTGCTGCTGTGAACATCCACGTAGAAGTTTCGGGGTGGACATTCCCATGGCTTTAGACCCGCATCTCTGCCCAGTGGCTTCCAGTCTGCACCTCTTGCCTAAACTGTGGGCTTGTTTGTCTTGCCACTGGCTTCTCCACCTGAATGTCTCATAGGCATTTTCTGCCTACCACGTCTGAAACCAAAGGCTGGACTCTCCCCCTCCTCCAGACCTGTCTTCCTTCCTACCTACCCCTTGTCCTCACCTCCGTAAGGAGTCTGATCAGACCTCTTGGGCGCAAACAGGGAGCCATCTTCTGGGACCACTGCTTCAGGGCTGTTGTGTCAGGGATGCTGTTCAGAGTCTCTGCTCCAGGTAGAGCCTTGGGGCCCTGCACAGACTCTGGTGTTTTCTTACCTCCCACGCCTGTTGGCGTGGTGATGGAGCTGTCACCCACACACAGCCTGAGCACCTCGCCATTCGGTTGTCACCTCTGTTTGCTTGGCCATCAGGGGTGGGGTGGCCCTGGGGATGGTCTGTGGTCCATCACTAAGGCAGTGTTGGCATCAGTTCTTGGTGCCAGGGGATGACTGGGGAGGGGTGTGTTTCTCAGAGCATGGGCCGTGTACCACTTGCAGCTCGCCAAAGTGTTTTAGGTGGCAAGGGAGAAACCTTTATGTTGGGGTGGGTGGTTGGGGAGGGGAGAAGACAGCACCA